TGTGGAGAACAATCCTCGTTTGGATTCTCCTGAAGAGACAGCAGGTTTGTAACAAAGAGCTTCTAGAGCAGAGCTGAATCAGAGCCAGGTTTCTCATCCCCAAGACTGCAGTCACTGCCCAGGGCCAAGGCCAACTGCAGCCAACCACTCTGACCGCCTCTGGGTGTTTCCAGGACCAGCCATCATGGCAGAAAAGCATTTCCTTTTGCTTCTCAGCCCAGGACACCCTTCACTCAGTGCATCCCATCCAGCATCCTCCATGGCACAGGCCCACCCTACAGAGCAAGAGGGGAAGGACGTTCTCTCTTTAACCTCCTTTCCTTTTCTTAAGATGGCCTGGTTTGCCTCTGGCCTCCTTGTCAAGAAGGGCTCGAAAACAGCAAGACAGAGACATGCGGAAATCTCTCCTGGGTTTATCGACATGATGTATTGAATAACTCATTATGTGAAGCCTGAAATGATGGATTTTATGTTGAGTGAGGAGGTTTTCAGGATTGTCCCTTGTGAAAGAAGAAGACAGGCAGACAGGCCACACCTGATCTAGGCAATTCCTCTGAATTAAATTCAGCTTATATGGGTGTACCCCAGTCAGAAGGGAAGCCGCAGTAGTGGCCTCTCGCGTTCCCAGAAGCAGAACAGAAGGCTCCAGTTACGCCCAAAGTCTTCGGCAATTAAACAAGTTAAGGCAGCTCTGATGATCATATGGGCAGCAAGTAATTATTCTGAGTGCAGTTACACCGGGGTTTATGAGAGGCATACTTTTACATGCCATTGCTGTTTTTCAGTCTTGGTGACAAAGGCACACTCTGCCTCTTCCAGGGTTCTACTGGATACTGCTTAGAGCCAGTTTGGTGTAGTGGTTAAGTGCGCGGACTCTAATCTGGGAGAGCCGGGTTTGATTCCCCACTCCTCCACTTGCACCTGGCTGGATGGCCTTGGGCAAGCCGTAGCTCTGATAAGAGCTGTTCTTGAAAAAAGAGCAGTTTCTGTTAAGAGTTCTCTCAGCCCCACCTACCTCATAGGGTGTCTGTTGTGGGGAGGGGAAGGGGAAGGAGTTTGTAAGCCGCTCTGAGACACCTTCGGGTAGTGAAGGGCGGGGTATAAATCCAATCTCTTCTTCTTCTTCTTCTCATATCTGTGGCCCTCCTGGACAGTGCCAGACATCCCAGAATACCGGCATCCCAACTGCTAGAGTTGAAAGCATCCACACTAGACCGCTGACAAACAGACCTGCTTCTACAAGAGAACTGGACAGGATGTTTGATCAGCAGAAAGGGAATTGTCTCGAGGGAAACACAGGAGATGGGTGGTTGGAAAAGCATATGACCCAAGGGGGCAGGGAAGCAATACACAAAGGGGATTAATACTTTCTCTTGTAAAAGGGGTGTGTGTGACATTTTACCATTTTCACCCAGGACTGTGAAAGGTGGTGGTGGGGTTTTGGCTGGGTTCCCTTTTAACTAAGGCAGTCAAAAAGAAATTATGCAAGAAATAAAAAGCAGGGGGGGGGGGGATTCCAGCTTTTCAGACAGTCTGATGGGAGGGGAAACTCCAGTCTCAAACATGATGCTCCGTTACCTTCCAGTATATTCTGGATCGGGGAAATCCCGGGTCGAATCCCCACTGGTACCATTGAAGCTTGCTGGGTGACCTCAGGTCAGTCACACACCCCAACCCGAAAGACAGGAGAATGATGCAAGCTGCTTTGGGTCCCCACTGGGGTGAAAGGGGGGAGATAAACAGAACAAATAAACAGAGAAATAAAACAGAGGTTTCTTACCTAACAGTCCAAACCCATTCCATCCTCGCCTCCTGTTCTGGCAAACTTCAGAAAACAAGGTGGAAACCGAGAAATTCCGCTAGGGAAGGAAATATTTATCTATTTAAAACATTTATTTCCTCCCCTCTACCCAGCCCATGGCAATCTACAAACATATGTCAAGAGACATCTATAACCAACAAATAAAACTGTCAAGATTACAAATTAGCAACTGAAAACAGTCACAGACTTAGTTTAAAGTTACTTTTACCAGAACAAGCTACTCCAAACCTCAGCAAAATGCCCTCTCAGACCAAAGCCCCTTTAGCTCTTTTCTTAAAAACTGTTAATGACAGAGTTCCTCTGGTCCTCATCAGGCATACAGGCAGCTCCTCAGAGGAGGGGGGGGGGGGGGGGGGGCAGCAGCTCTCATAACAACCCTTGATGCCAGCCAGGGCTGGCACTATTACCACCAGCACATCCTCATTTTTTTCTGCGAAAATGGGAGGGAGACTGATAGGGCTGCCAACGCCTGCTTGGGAAATTCCTGGGGATTTGGGCAGCAGAGTCTGAGGAAGGCAGGGTTTGGGGGAAAACCACAGCAGGTGCATCCGACCACAGAGGCCATCATCCAAAAACAGCCATTTTCTCTGGGGGAACTGATCTCTGTAGTCTGGGGACAGGTTGTAACTCTGGGAGACCTCCAGGCCCCTCCTAGACACTGGCGACTCTACTGTGTGGAGGGATTCTTCAGCACAAACAGGTGACTGGGGTTAAAACATACAGGATAGTCAAGTGGTGACTATGCCAATACAGGGTGTGGATTTTAGCTGTGCAGGTCCCTTTGCACGCAAAAAATTAGCACAAGCGGGAGAACAATTCTTCCTCCACTCTTACCTTTGGTGCTCGCTTTCTTCCCTTGCAGGGCCTTCTGACTTAGGGGATGCAATCCCATAAGAAAATGCACCAGTGGCTGGACCCTGCCCTCTTCACTGGTACCACCTGTTCCACCATCTCCTTCTCCGCCTGTGAGCCAGGGGTGCTAAATGCTAATGTGGCTCTAGGAGGCACCAGTGCTCAAGAGACTGACAATCATCCCCCTAAAGAATACCCTAGGCTAGAGATGTAAAGGGGGGGGGGGACCTGTTTTCCCCAATTTTTTTCCTGAAGCCTTTTTTGTTTTTTTCCGAAAAATTGAAAAAAGAAGAGAAAAGGGGGGGAAATATTATGGAACGTTTTATTCTAACATGATGAATAAAATATGTTAAGACAAGGTGTTCAAATATTTATTGTTAATTTATTTATTTATTTATTTGTGACATTTTCACCCCGACCTCCCCGCGAGCGGGCTCAGGGCGGCTTAATATTTGGATATTTTTGAATATTTTCCAAATCATTTCTAAAAAATATGTATGGTATCAAATATCTTCCAAATCATTTCTAAAAAATATGTATGGTATCAGATTGATCTAATTTCTGTGCACTGAGGACAAGCAAGTCCTAGGTTACAAATTGAACTCTCCAATGCAAGAACAAGATGCATTTCTTCCTTTAGGAGGTGCTATTGTCACAAGAAAAGAAAACTGTTTCAGTTTTGTTTTTGCATGTGGGTGGGTATTCTGTTTGTAATAATTGTTTGGATACACTATATTTTTTAACTAGGAAAAAGGTCCGTTGTGGAAATAAATACAACGGCCTCTAGAAAGAGTCTCTGGGCGGGTGCCCCGGCCTTGGACACTCAGTGTCAATTTGCTGTGGCGACCTCAGCAGAGTATAATGACACTGAGTCCACCATTTTCTCCAGAGGAACTGATCTCTGCTACCTAAAGAACAGTTGTAATTTTGAGTGATCTCCAGCCCTCACCTGGAGATTGGCAACGATGGTTCCCCAGAAGGGAATAGTTGGTTTGGAGGGTGGAGTCTATGGCTTTGTACCTGTC